GACCGTTTGGCTACTTTTTTACCACTTTCCATTTTTACCCTTCTCCGTGATCTGTGCGTTAGCCATGGGCTCACGGGAGTGACATACGCGTACGGTGAATGATGCAACTTCTCGCACGTGTGACCTCTGATTCCAACACGTGTGATCTCCACTGGTTAGCTTTTTTTTTCTGGTATACTGGCAGTGAGTGACTAACCCAAATCATTACTCTTAAGAGTGGCACAAATTACCATAATACCCTTTGTAATTTAAATATTTTCTTTATATATCAATCTTGTAAATTTCCATTTCTATAAATTATTATATGTTCTCCGTACACAAAGCTGAATCAATCATAATTCTCATAAATGTTGATATTAATGATATGTGTTTTTTTTACGGAATCAATCAAATTCGTATTTACCCTAATTATGGGCATGCAAGTTAAAAAATAAATAAATTATGGGCGTTGTTCCTTTGACTAGTCTTCAACGTTAGAACATTTAACGAATTATATAAAACAAATACACACCCCTTTGGCAGTACAATTTTTTGTTCTCATTATATTAAAAACCGTGTGGTGATTTTTATTTATTCATCAAACTTTTTTCTTAACTTTTTCACATTGTTTTACGGGTTAATCACCTTTCACCGTTGACGAAATTATAAAACAAATTAATTTAGAAAAAAAATGCAGAGCAACATGCGAACAGGATTAGAGCATAAAGAATCTTTGTCTTAGTGATAAAGTGAATAACATTTTAATTTAATAACTTTATAAAAATTATAACTTGAATGAAACGCCAAGCTGGCTCTGATCCCTTCTGCCATTTCACATTGTCTTCTTTTAAATCTTAAAATTATTTTTTTCTTCAAGTTTCCACCAGATTCCTTTATTTTCTTATCATTTTACCAAATTAAATTTCAAATTGTTTATTTTTTTACATGTCATCAATATTTCAGGTCCTTTTAGCAAAATTTGGTTCCCGTCATTTTCAATATATTTGTGTATATTCAATTTTCTTAAACCTTTAAAATAATGGCAAATATTTATTTTTTTTCGAAAAAGTATAATATTTGGAGTAGCAAAAAATGTTTTAAATATAAAAGATTAGGAAAAGGCGCAATATTCGCCGTAAAAGTGAAAATATAAATATTTTATTACAAAATAATGGTAGAGAGAGAGAGAGAAAGAGAGTAGTGGTAAAAATAATTAAAATAGATATGGAGAGAGTGAAATGTAAAGTGCTAAGAGAGAGAAAGTGAAAGCTCTTTGTCAAGTGTAGAGCTTGAAGAAAGAGAGAGTGAGAGAGAGAGAGACGAGAGCTTAAAGAAAAGTTTGGATTTTTTATCTGTGTTGTTGGATTTTTCCTACAACAAAACCAGACCCACTTCCAAAATCTTGTCTCAACGAAACAACATTTCATCAATCCTCCTAGTTAAAGACCTTCTTCTTCTTCTGGTTAGGGTTCTTGAAAGCTCAGTGTTTGTATAATTTGACAAAAGAGAG